ACAAGTTTTTTTTACACAGAGAGTGAGTGGTAGGAGTGTGGGACGCGCTGCCAGGAATGGTAGTGGAGGCAGATACATTAGGGGTGTTTAAGGGACTTCTGGAGAAGCACATGAATATGCAAGGAATGGAGGGATATGGACAAAGGGCAGGCAGAATTAATTTGGCGTCACGTTCGGCACAACATTGTGTCCCTTTGCTGTATTGTCCTGTGTTCTAATGCCCAATTTTAAAAGAAATAACCAATTTATACAGCGCTGATTTTACTTCTGAAATTTGTTATTCTCGTCACGATCCCGATCTGATCAGGACAGAATTGCGAGAACCACCACACTTGAAAGGCTGCGTTTGAAATTGTTGCTTCCTTTCAAATTTAATGTTAGTCATAGAGTCATGCAGCTCGGAAACAGACCCTTCGGCCCAACCTGTCCGTGCTGACCATAATCTAAACTCAACTCGTCCCACCTGCCTGCTCCTGGTCCATATCCCTCCAAACTTTTCCAATTCATGTACTTATCCCAAATGTGTTTTAAACGTTGTAACTGTGCCCACATCCACCACTTCCTCAGGAAGTTCATTCCACACACGAACCACCCTCTGGGTAAAAAAAATTGTCCCTCGTCTTTTTTAAATCTCTCTCCTCTCACCTTAAAAATCTGCCTCCTAGTCTTGAAATCCCTCATCCTAGGGAAAAAGACATCTACCATTAACTCTATCTATACCCCTCATGGTTTTATAAACCTAGATAAGGTGACGCCTCAACCTCCCTTGCTCCAGTGAAAAAGAGTCCCAGCCTACACTTATAACTCGATACCTCCATGCCCAGCAACATCCTGGAAAATCTTTTCTTACCCTCTCCAGTTTAATAATTTCCTTCCTGTAACAGGGTGACCAGAACTGGACACCGTGCTCCAGAAGAGGCCTCATCAACGTTCTGTACAACCTCAACATGACATCAGAACAGCTACAAATATCCCAAATTACAAAGAGAGAATCAACATTGTTTCCTCTTTGAAATTCGGTATTGCAATAAAATATATTCGAAACAATCCAGTACAGGACAGGAACAGCCCTTTCGGCCCACCAAGCCTGTGCTGATTCCTAGTCCTTATTTGGACCCGCGACTCAATGCCCATGCATGGTATCTCTCCGTCTGTTCGCCTCCAAATGCCTTAAATGTTGCTAACATACCTGCTTATCCACTGGCAGGATGTTCCAGGCACCCACTGCTCTCTGGGTGAAAAGGTTATCCCCCAAAAGTCTCCCCCTCAACTTTCCCTTATCTCGCCTTGAACCTGTGCCCTCTTGTAGTTGACCTTTCCACCCTGGGGAAGAAGCTTCTGATTTATCCACCCCGTCTACACCTCACTATCAGGTCAACCCCACTCTCGCACTTACACAAGAAACAGGAGCAGGCCATCGGGGCCCCTCGAGCCTCCTCCGCCATTCAGTAAGATCATGGCTGATCTTTTCGTGGGCTCAGCTCCATTTACCCACCCGCCCATCATAACCCTTAATTCCTTTACTGTCTGAAAATCTATCTTTGCCTTCAAAACATTCAACGAGGTGGCCTCATTGGGCAGGGAATTCCACAGATTCCCAACCCTTTGAGTGAAGACATTCCTCCTCAACTCAGTTCTAAATCCGCTCCCCCTTATTTTGAGGCTGTGCCCCCCAATTCTAGTTTCACCCACCAGTGGAAACAACCTCCCTGCTTCTATCTTTATCTATTCCCTTTGTCATTTTATAAGTTTCTATAAGATCGCACCTCCCCACCTCATTCTTCGAAATTCCAATGAGTATAGACCCCGGTCTATACTCGACCTCTCCTCACAAGCCAACCCTCTCAACTCTGGAATCAACTTCCTCTTGTACCCCCTCCAGTGCCACTACATCCTTTCTCGAATAAGGAGACCAAAACTGTACGCTGTACTCCAGGGATAGCTCACCAGCCCCTTGTACAGCCGCAGAATAACCTCCCTGTTTTTAAACTCTAGCAACGGCGGACAATATTCCATTTGCTTTCTTAATGACCTGCTGCACCTGCAAACCAACTTTTTGAGATTTATGCACAAGGATGTCCAGGTCCCTCTGCACAGCAGCGCGCTGCAGTTTTTCACCATTTATAAATATTGCTGTTATTCTGAGCAAAACGGATGACCTCACATTTATCAACAGATAAGGGAAAGTTGAAGGGGAGACTTTTGGGGGATAACCTTTTCACCCAGTCTGCCCAGGTCTGCCCTGATCGCTGCAAGAATATCGCATTTCCCAGGGAGCCTCAGCGCAGTAAAAGTTGGTGCGTTCCCTTTCGAAAGTTCCCTTTCCTGCGTCTGCCGAGGTAGAATCGAGGTTTCAAAAATCAGGAATGCTTTCAATCATGGCACTGGGAAGACAGTGTTTCCCCACTGGCGGGAGGCTTGGTAACTGAACACTATTGACAATGGGAGAGCAAAGGCGGTGCTGTTCAGAGGAGCAGAATCAATGGGCTGAATGGCCTCCCCTGAGGCACAAAGCCCTCTTTAAAAAGGCAGGGGCCGTGCGGAGGTAGCGTGTGAGGCAACGGGGAGAGATCATTCATCTCAAGGTGGGTGAACAGGCAGTGTCTTATTGATAAGGTCAGGCTGAGATTGAGGGTGGGTGCAGAGGGGTGGGGTGGGGGGGGCGGAGGTCGTTGGTGGTTGGGGAGTAACGTCCTTCGATGTGCCTGACCTCCAGGCAACTTCGGTCACAGAGATATCCCTGACCCTGCAGAGCTGAGGAAAGCAGAGGAAACAAAGCTGAACTCTGTTCATTGAGTACAGTTCAGATAAACCTGTACAATGCAGAAATTTAACCTCGACTTGGCATAATTTGTGCATCTCCAGGAACTGTGTGTCCTTTTGGCAAACTTTGGAGAGAGAGAGAGATGGAAAGTGAGAGAGAGAGAGAGAGAAGGCTTCTGAGAACCATTCCTGAGACAAGATGGACTCCAGTGATGACACTAGTTCGGAGAATCCAGGATTTGGAGGAGAGGAGATTTGATCGAAACCTCAAGAGAAAGAAATGGAGTGGGGAGGTAGTAGAGAATCTAGAGAATTTCAGTTGAGGGCCAATGAAAGCATTGGTGGCAACAACAGGGAGGAACAACATCAGGTACTTCCCTGAGGACAATCCAGAACATTTGGGAGGGATTTCGATCGTCATCTGAAAGAGGGTGATTGTGCAGGTCTCCTGGGAATGCGGGGGCGATTGCGGGATAGCAACGAAGGGCAGAGCAGCCTTCTCATGTTTTCCGACCCTTCGAGATGCCATGCCCGTGACTCAGTGCCAGATGTGTTACAATGCCATCACTTTGAGAGGCCGTCTTGCCCCGGTTAGTTTTCTGTATAAGGCAGAGGTGCCCAACTGGACCTTGAATACATCTTAAATAAACAACTTGTGGGGTGTTTTTCTGAAAGTTGGAACGATAGAAGCAGCCTGAATGGGTGTGGCTGGCTCTCACAGATCCAGATTTCTGGTTTTCGGCTTTCTCAGTAGCATCAGAAGACGTTTGGGGTCGCGAAGGAGTTGGGAGCTTCAGCGAATGTCTCCTGGCTGCTACACTCACTGGAATTTTTCTTGCTATCTTTTCCTCCTGGATTGGAGAACTGCATGTGAGAATCTGTGTCTGACTTTGCCAAGACAGTGTGTTTATTGGATCAGTTAATCGGTAATAAGCCCTGTACCGATTATTCGGTTAAGTTTTCCAAGAGTTAAGATATTCAGAATTCCTCTTTCTTTCGTTGTATGTTAACTGCAGTGTTTGAACAAATTGTGTTTAGCTTAAACATCAAGCAGTTTAACCTGTCGCATTGGATCAGCAACATGGCACTTCACGTCTACTTTTAAAATAAGAAAAAGTTAGGGCCTTCTTATTTTGTGGGGTTCTGGTCTGGCCCATAACAGATGACTTCGAGCATATTTGGCAGTGGATAGGCAGGGAAAGGTGGGTGCGAAAGGTAGTAACAGGTTTTGCTGAGCAGATTGCTGGGGGAAAAGGCGTCAGTGGGAGGGCTGAGTCCCGGAGTAGCCTGGGCGAGAGATTGGGACACAGTTATTGGTGAGTTTCAAAACTCCTACTAGGTTCTCCCATTGCACATATGTCAGAGCTCAGATGGAAATGAATTGTAAGCAAGGCTTGAGAATTCAAGGCAAGAGTCCTTGAGATTTCTGATCAACGAGAGGATTAGTAGTTGTGTCATACAGTCATATTGAACAGAAACAGACCTTTTGGCCCAACCCATCCATGCCAACTGTAATCCCAAACTAAACTAGTCCCACCTGCCTGCTCCTGGCCCATATCCCTCCAAACCTTTTCTATTCATGTACTTATCCAAATGTCTTGTAAACATTGTAACTGTACCCACATCCGCCACTTCCTCTGGAAGTTCATTCCACAGGCGAACCACCCTCTGCGTAGAAAAAGTTGCCCCCTTCATGTCTTTTCAAAATCTTTCTCTTCCCACCTTAAACATATGCCCCCTCGTCTTGAAATCCCTCACCCTAGGGAGAGTTGAGGGTGGTGGAGGGATTGGAGCAGAGAGGGGAAGCTGGAGTTGGTGCCCACACCCGATTGAATGGCCGAGCAGACTCTGAAGGGCCGAATGGTCTACTCCTACCCCTTCCAGTAACGATGGAGCCCCTGATCTCATTCCCTGCTTCAATCTCGTAATCGTGACAATCCACTTCACCCAAAGACTTGATGCCCTTCTCTCCTCAGGACGTGGGCATCGTTGGGTGGGATCAGGACCCATTGCCCATCCCTCATCGCCCAGCGGGGCGGGCAAGAGTATCCGCCCCCTTTTACCAACGACGGACCGTCATTGGTAGATTTTTGTCAGATTCAAATTTTGGCTATCTGCCGTGGAGGGATTCGAACACAGGGTTGTGGGGTCGGGGGGTGGCCCCTCTCGGAAATTCATCCTGACTTTCCAAGCCTATAACATCGCCACCGCAATCCCCTTGGAAAACAAACAAAATTGGGACTAGGAGCTGCAATTGACTCCCCTCTGTTTCTCACCCTTGACCCCATTGAAATGATGGCCTGATGGCCCCGAACTCCTCAACTAGATCCATTTCCCACAACCCAGTCAATCCCAAGCGGCTCGTCATCCATTTGAGACCAGCCCGGGTTGTTATTGAATTGCGCTGTGTATGGTTGTTCCCCTTTCGAGCTCACTTCCCCACAGCAAGGCCTACTCTCCTCCATCTCGGCCTTGCTCCTGACCAGCTGAGTGAGAATCAGTCTGGGAGAAGGGGAGAGACCATATGTGTTTGGAATTCCGATTCATCCAGACCTACCTCAGGAGCTGACCGTCTAACGGAAGGTGAGGGGCGGATAACCGGAATGAATAGACCCAGGGAGGTCTCAGGCCTGAGGTTCCTGCGCTGGATGACGGCGTAGCCCTTTTGTCAACAACCAGCCAATAGCAAACCGCTTGCGGCTCGTAGAAAGGATTGCGACAGGTCGATAGACGTTGAAGGAGACGGAGTTTGAGATAAACAGGGCAACTCTCAACGGCTTCCTGCAATGGAATACTTCCTACTGCCTGTCGAGAGACAGGTCTGTAAAATTTCTGCTGTTGCATTGCGTCACTCTCCTGCCCCTTCCGCATGGGGCTCCCCAAAAAAAAGGAAACTAACTTTCGCTTGTTTCGTATGGTCTCCAAGTTCAACAGGGGCACAATGAGGGGATAGTTGTTTGTTTTGGAAGGGAGAACAGAGTAGTATTCAAATGAAGGGTCCGATTCTGGTCTGCCTGCTGTAGGAAGGATGTTGTGCAGCTCGAAGGGGCGCAGCAAAGATTTACAAGGATGTTGGAAGGGTTGAGCCACAGGGTGAATAGGCTCGGGCTATTTTCCCTGGAGCGTCGGAGCCTGAGGGGTGACCTTATAGAGGTTTATCAAATCAAGAGGGGCATGGATAGGGGAATAGCCAAGTTCTTTTCCCCAGGGGTAGGGGAGTCCAAAACTAGAGGGGCATGGGTTTAAGTGGAGAGGGAAAAGATTTAAAAGGGACCTGAGGGGCAACTTTTTCATGCAGTGTATGGCTCGAGCTGTTAGAGAGACAGTTGTAACACAAATGGACGTGGGGGGATCTTGTGCATGGAACACAGAAAGCTAGTACACAGGGGCAGCAGGGAATCAGGAAGGGCTAATGGAATATCGGCCCTTATTTCAAGGGGGTTGCAGTATAAGAATAAGAAAGTCTTACTGCAACATTACAAGGTGCTGGAGGGTCTACGTCTGGAGCAATTTTGGTTGTAGAGTCTTGGAGCTGTACAGCATGGAAACAGAGCCTTCGTTCCAACTTGTCCGTGCCGACCAGATATCCTAAATTAATCTAGTCCCATTTGCCAGCATTTGCCCCATATTCCTCTAAACCCTTCCTATCCATGTCCCCATCCAGATGCCTTTTAAATGTAACTGTACCAGCCTCCACCACTTCCTCTCGCAGCTCGTTCCACACACGCACCACCCTCTGTGTGAAAAAATTGCCCCTCAGGTCCCTTTTAAATCTTTCCCCTCTCACCTTAAACCTGGTGCCCACTTGTCACAGAAAGGCCTTCAGTCTCAATAAAGCAGTCCTCCCACTCCAATCCACAGTCTGGATAGCTCAGAAGTTAGCTTTCGATTCCAGATTTTATGAATCAAATCTAAATTTCACTAGCTGCTGGAGAACCCAGGTCTCTAGAGTATTACAAAAACAGAAATTGCTAGAAAAGCTCAGCAGGTCTGGGGAGAAGTCAGAGTTAACGTTTTGGTCCCTTCCTCAGAACTCAGAACCCTACAGTATCAGCCTTGAGCCTCCAGATTACTTGTCAAGGTAATATTGTGGGAAAAATAGTGTACTATTGAGCAAGGAAAGGGTCTGTTTTTGTGCTATAATTGCTCAGAGTCTGGATTTCAAACTAGCGGCATATGGGTGTTTCACAAAGGCTTCAAAAATAAGGAAGTCAATCAGCCTTTCTAGAACTGTGACCGAATTCAGAATGTGTCAGAGAACAGCAACTCCTGGAATCTTAATTGAAGATATTTCATATTGGGTTGGGTTTACAACCTAGAGTGTAAAAAGGGGCCATTTAACTCATTTTGAATTCAGGATAAATTGAGGATTGATTTTGGCTTTGGAAACAGAGATTGGAAATGTCTGAGCAGTTTTGGAGGAGGCCCTGACTGGAGAACAAAGAGGTTTTGTCCTGGAAAAGCATCTCAAACATTTCCAGGAATAAGCTACACCAGTAGGAAGTTAGTTTGTGCAGCTTCCAGACCAGAGGTGTTTGGCTTGAAATCTCACAGACCATTAAAAGAATTGAGAAAATCTAAACTGAGTTTTGAGAGCATTTGTGTAAGACTTTACAGTTCACAAGAACTGGGAAAGATCAGCTGAGTGAAGCATGATGATTTGAGGGATAAACTGTGTAGATTAAACACTGCAATGTGTCAGTGCTGGGGAATAGGTAAAAACATTGTTTTGCCATAGGTCTTACGATCTTTCAAACCCTGTGTTCTCAATTGAGATAGCTCAGGTTCTTTAATTTAATCATTTTCCCTTTTGTGTAATAGGCTGCTATTTTATTGTTAAAACAAATCTACAGCATTGTGTGCTTAAGCTTCAACTTAAGCAAGTTTTAAGAAATGTTTTTAAACCGATGACAAGAAAAAGATAATGAATCGCTTATTTATAAGTCTATAACTTAAACTCTCTCCTCTTAAAAATCCCACATACGCCCAGACAGAAAAGACACTGGTATTCGAGGTGGGAAGGGATATTTCAGCTACCTACACTTCCACCACCAGCCTAGATGACAGATGCCAGGGAGTTTATTTTAATCCTTCTGATTCTTTGCTTATCACACATGGTCGTAGATCTCCCGAATATCAGGCTTTCATTCACTGGATGAAGATTTGCCATTAGAGTGCCTCTGAGATTAGTTTATCTTTGTTTTCCATGCAATGAGGGAATTTCTCCCATTTTCTTTCTGCAGAGAGAGGCAGCGGGAGCATGAGACAGCACAAGAAAGAGCGAGAACATAAGTGAAAGAAAGAGACAGCAAGAGCGTGAAAGAGAGAGAGAGACACACACGCTCACAGGCAGAAAGGGAAGTGCACACTAGGGGACACACACAGAGTGAGTGAGAGACAGAGAAAGAGACAGACACACAGAAAGAGAGAGAGACACCCGGGGTGGGGGGAGGGGGGGAGAGAGTGAGAGACAGCGAGAGAAACGGGGAGAGGGGGGGGGGAGCAGGGGGTGGGGAGAAGAGAGAGAGAGAGAGACACACGCATATAGAGTGAGAAAGAGAGTGAAAGCGCAAGAGAGTGAAACACAGAAAGAGAGAGCAAAACACAAAGAGACACACACACAGTGAGAGAGACAGACAGATAGAGAGAGAGAGAGCCAGACAGGGAGAGGAAGGGAGAGAGAGAGAGAGCAAGAACCAGAGGAGGGAGAGGGAGAGAGAAACAGAGAGAGAGATACACACAGAGTGACAGAAAGAGAGAGAGAAAGCAGTTTACAGGGAAACAGTGAAGGAGAACTATCACCAGGAAATCTTCTGTTGTCTCTCTGTACAGAAGAGGAAGAAAGGGATTTAGGCATTTCCTCTTTGCAGGCTGAATCTTCCATTCTATTGTCCATGTACAAGGCTGCAGCCATTTGCCCAGGAACCAATTAGAAAGTTGTTACTATGCTGAGCTATCCTGAACCTACATAACTGGTACAGAGTGAAAATCAAAAGACAGTCACTCTCTCTCTTGCTCTCACACACTCACTCACTCACTCTCACTCTCACACACACACACACACACACACAGTGCGCCAATATGCCTGGTGTTTACCCTCACTGCCGAAACAAAACAACATCGTAGATACAAGTGACAATTTAATCCAGTAACACACTGAAATAATCATCCAGTTTCCTTGGTTTAAAGCAATACCTCCCTGCCCCCCACCAATTTTTAAAAACTGTGACCTTCGCAAGATATAACGGAAGAATATTTGACATCTTTGAACTGGACTGAACTCAGAGTTAGTAGATACTCAGAGTAGAGAAGAAAACAGATCTCATTGGAGGAAATGATAGAAGAGATTAGTCAATATTAGGAATTGGAACAAGGGGAACTTCAGCAAGGATACAAAGGTATGTTCAGAATTTTTATAAAAATCTAGAATCCAGGGAAGAGACTTGAAAATAATCTTGAATTGGAAGAGGAGGAGAATCAGAAAGAAACTTTGAAGTAGAAAGAAAGAAGGATTGAGAGCAGCTTTATAAAACTTTGGTTTGGCCGCACTTAAGAGTATTGTGTTCAATTCTGGTTGCCACATTACAGGAAGGACGTGGAGGCTTTGGAGAGGGTGCAAAGGAGGTTTACCAGGATGCTGCCTGGATTAGAGGGTACGAGCCAAAAGGAGAGACTAGAAAATTGTTTTCTCTGGAGGCTGAGGGAAGACTTGATAAAGGTATATAAAATGATGAGGTGCATCGATAGGGTTGACAGTCAGAATCTTTTTACTAGGGTTGAAATGTCTAAACCTGAGGGCATGCATTTAAGGTGAAAGGGGGAAATATCAAAAAGAGTCTTGAGGATCAAGTATTTTATATATAGAGTGTGGTAGGGGTCTGGAACATGCTACCTGGGGTGGTAGTAGAGGCAGATATGTTAGAGGCGTTTAAGGGGCTTTTAGATAAGCACACGAATATGCAAGGAATGGTGAGATATGGACCAAGGGCAGGCAGAAGGGATTAGTTTAACTTGACATCATGTTCAGCACAACACTGTGGGCCGAAGGGCACATTCCTGTGCTGTACTGTTCTACGAGAAATTGAGTGGGAAATGGAATCTAAAAAGCTCAAACAAAATAGGGATATTGGACAAATTGGCCAGAGGAAAGCTTAGAGAAAAGGAAAGAGTTAGTTGGATGAAGAATGATCTGAGTCCAATGAACTCGATTTAACTAAGATTTGACACAATGCTTAATTTTACTGAGGATGGAGTCAACAGATAGTTCAGCAAAGGCGGCTCCGATGAAAACTCATCTAGACTTGAAACGTTGGCTTGTTCTCTCTCCATGGATACTGCCCGACCCACTGTGACCTCCAGCATTTATTGCTTTCAGTACAGATTCCAGCATCTGCAGTAATTTGCTCCTACATTGAGTTGAAACTGGGTAAAAGATGCGTGGATCTTGATCTTAGAGGTACAGCTGAACTCCTACACTGGTGTGTCAAATGTGATAATGTGCAGATTGAGAGATAGTTCAAGCAAAAGCAACATGCAATGCTTATGAGTTTATGCCTGAAGTTATGCTCAGAATTGTTGAGTGTCTTGTGATCAGTGGTATAAGATTTATAGATTTTAATATCATTTATTTTAGTGACTGGATTTGATCTAGTGGCATATTGGTTTTAGTCTGTCTCTGAAGGGATTTCACAATTAACGAGTATTTTTCAGACTTAGTTATTTCCTCAAAAAAATTGAGGGCAAAAGGGGAGGAGAGTTTGCAACTGCATATAGAAAACAGTCGCAGATTAACTTTCAGTTTAAGATCAGAGGGTTTTAAAAAAAATTTTCTACTCAGTAGGGGAAACACCCAAAGCCTGAAAAAAAAGTAGCATTTTATTTTCAATCAATAGATACCTTGGTTGAAGCTGAATGTGTAAAACTGCAGAGAAAGGGAGGTAGTTTTGAACCGTTAATAAAACAAAAGGGTTGCCTACTGTTAAAGGTTCCAGACCAGAAGTGTTTGGTTAGAACTTATCTGAAACAGAAAGCCTATACTGGGCTGAATGAAGGCGTAAGGAAAAAGCCCATGAGATTCTCAAGACCAGAAATTGAAGGGACAAAGATTATAATCTCTGTAAGCACGAGGTAGGAGTGCTGTTGGGATTATAAGTTTGCTCTGTTTCAATACTGCTTCATTTGCAGTGCATCTGCAGCATTGCTTTATTGCATTCGTCAAAAAAAAACTTGAGTCATAGAGCTGTACAGCATGGAAACAGACCTTCCAGTCCAAACATTCCACGTTGACCAGATATCCTAACTTAATTGAGTCCCATTTGCCAGCATTTGGTCCATATCCCTCTAAACCCTTCCTATCCATGTACACATCCTGATGCCTTTTAAATGTTGTAATTGTACCAGGCTCCACCACTTCCTCTGGCAGCTCATTCCATACACGCACCACCCTCTGCGTGAAAAAGTTGCCCCTCAAGTCCCTTTTAAATCTTTCCCCTCTCACCTTAAAACCTATGTCCTTTAGTTTTGGACTCCACTACCCTGGGGAAAAAGACCATGGCTATTCACCTTATCTATGCACCCCATGATTTTATAAAACTTCAAGGCCACCCCCTCAGCCAGGGAAAATAGGCCTAGCCTCTTCAGCTCGTCCTTATAGCTCAAACACTCCAAACCCTGGCAACGTCCTTATAATTCTTTTCTGAACCCTCTCAAGTTTCATAACATCCTTCCTATAGCCGGGAGATCAGAATTGGCGACAATATTCCATAGATGCAAATTCCGAAACTCAATGCACTGACCAATAAAGGCAACCGTCCAAGTGCCTTTTTCACTATCCTGTCTACCTGTGACTCTACTTTCAAAGAACTATGAACCTGCACCCCAAGGACCTTGCTGAAACTGAAAACAAAGTATGATCAAGTCAGATTTATTTCTGGGATATGACTTGCGCAGCGATAACATCAACTGGTTCTCAGTGTAATTTAATGTCAACCTGACTGTTAATAATGACATAAATAGCTTGCTTTTGAAAGAAATGTTTGCACTTTTTTTGGAGGAGAGAGGTGTTGAAAAGTGTCAGATTTTTATACAAAATTTTCAGAGTTCGGATTTCAAACTAGTGACATATGGGTGTTCGAATCACAAATATGTCTTTCCAGACATATCTACTCTAGTGAGGTGTCAAGTGGACAGCGAATCTCTGGAGTGTTAAAAGACAATTGTACCACACAGGGTTCACCACAGAGTGGGAACACTGAGGGCCACTGGCTCGTTTTCAGTCTTAGGATGATCGAGGATTTGTTTTAGCCCCAGAAACACAAGGGGTCGGAAGCTCCTGAGCAGGCAAGTGCACAACACACACACTGTCTTAATGCAGTACAGGTCAGGGAGGTTGTACTGATAAAACATGGGTACCTGCAACCTCCAGACCAGAAACAGTTTGTCAGAAAAATCAGGAGAATGTTAAAAAGATTCAGAAAGTCTACACTTTCAATTTTGAGAATACTCACATCAGACCATGCTACAGGAACAAACTAGGAACTTAAAGATTTGATGATTAAATCAATAACCTCTTGGGAATTGATACTGTAAGGCGATGGTGTTTGAGAAACAGATGAAAATTTGCAAGCATTAGGATCTTGCTAACTGCCTTCTATATTTGGATAACTTGCTTTGTTTTATATTAGTGGTGTCCTTCTACGTAATAAACAGCATTTTTTTGGTTTTAAAAAACCAAAGCAGAGGATTTGTGTGATCATGCTCCAGTGAATAGCCATCGCATTCAATAACCAGAAATGATATGACATCCAGCTTTCATTCTGTGACCAAACTTCTGTGGCACCAGTAACACCTAGGATTGCAACGAGTGGTAACAGGGCAGTGGGACTAATTAACTCACCAAATGAGCTTCAGTAAATTAATTACTGCAGGACACTGGTCACGCCTCTGGAATGAAGAGGATAAATGGGGTAGGAGCACTCGAGGTAACATGGCAGTATCCCTACTGCTGAATACAAGGTGCCCAGTATCAACGAGAGAGAAGAATCAGCCAGAGGGTGACAAAGCGACAGCATCAGAGGGGGGGGCTGGAGGGGGTGACAGAGATAGGGAGGGGGTGTAGGGGGCCTGGAGGAGGTGACAGAGATAGGGAGGGGGGTACATCGCAGTGGGGCCCATCTTGGCTGAGAGTGTAGTGGCATTGCGCACCGGGCGAGAGGCTGAGGCGGGGTGAGCGCATGCAAAGATTATCAAACAGTCACAGCACAGCCCCAGCACCTGGGGAAAACAATAAATCAAAACGAAAACCGCGAGTAAAGTTGTCCAACGCACTTTTGCGTTTCCTTTTTATGCCATGGAATTAATTACAAAAAAAAGCCAAAACAGCAGGAGAGAAACTGGGTCCTTCTACAATTCTTTGTGTTTTTATATATATACACAAGAGATACATTGCTCACGGAGTTGAAACACAGTACAAAAGAAACACCTCAAAAGAAGCCAGAAAGACCACAATGTTCATATCACTTGAAGTTCCTAAAGAAAGGAGGGAATGGGTGTACGGGCGGTGCGAGTGTGAGTGAGTGTGTGCGTGTGCGCGCATGTATGTCAGGGAGCAGGGAAGGAAGAGGGAGTTAAATCGAATTCACTCTACATTTAGAAGCTCCTTCATCGGGAGAGGGGGTGGGCAGGGTTTGGATGAAGCAGAAATTTCGGGACGGGCATTGGAAAGGGGAGGGGGGCGGGGCTGGGGGTTTCTCTCTTTTAGTTTTCTTTTTTAAAAAAAAAACAAAAACAAGCATCTCGGAATCTGAACGCAGAAAAAAGGAGAACTTACAAACTCTATATTACAGACAACAGTAAAGTTGGGCATCACAGACACACAATGCAGAGCTTTATTATTTCTCGTCTTTTGCTATGTAATTTTCATTAGGATGTCCTGTCACTTTTAAGTGTCAGCTGGCCACGACAACGGGCTGGGAGGGGGAGGGGGGGAGGGGGCGTGGTGGGAGTTACGGATAGGTACGGAATAGAGATCAGACGGGTCACACTCCTAACTCAAAGCCTCTGTGTTTCGGTTCCTTTCCTTTTGGAAGCAGGGGTATGTATGTGGGTGGGGGTGCGTGTGTGTTGTTGTGGAAGTGAGGAGGGGGGGGGGG